TGTATTACAGATAAATTTTTGACATATACTTTGAGTCCATAGATTTTACCCTATCCATTGTATTTATTTTAATCAAATAAGAATAGAATACTTGAGTGTATGTTGTTTTATTCAGATGCTTTGGGAAAATGGAATTAATGGCATTTTAGCAGATGAAATGGGATTGGGAAAGACAGTTCAGTGCATTGCTACAATTGCATTGATGATTCAGAGAGGAGTACCTGGACCTTTTCTTGTCTGTGGCCCTCTGTCTACACTTCCTAACTGGATGGCTGAGTTCAAAAGATTTACACCAGAAGTAAGATGTTTCCTTATGATAGAAATGTTATTTTACATGTTTTATTCTATTTTATTGTTGTATAAATTAAATTTTAGACCTTCTTCTATAATATTGATTTCAGTATAAACATTATCTGATTTGATTTATGCAAAGCAATACCGTACTTTAAATTTATATAGAATAGGTATTATTAATCTTGATCATCTTCCTTAAAATGTTCCTGGATGATTTTCTGTGCATTGGACATTTTGATTTACCTGAGACAGACTTAGGTAGAATTTTTTTTAATTGTTTATTTTATTTATTTATTTATTTATTTGAGACAGAGTTTCACTGTGTTGCCCAGGCTAGAGTGCCGTGGCATCAGCCTAGCTCACAGAAACCTCAAACTCCTGGAGGCTTCAGCGATCCTTGCCTCAGCCCCAAGTAGCTGGGACTACAGGCATGCACCACCATGCCTGGCTAATTTTTTCATAATCTTCAGTTGGCCAATTAATTTCTTCTATTTTATAGTAGAGACGGGGGTCTCGCTCTGCTCAGGCTGGTTTCGAACTCTGACCTCGAGCAATCCGCCTGCCTTGGCCTCCCAGAGTGCTAGGATTACAGGCGTGAGCCACCGCGCCTGGCCATTATTTATTTATTTTTTGAAGTAGAGTCTGTGTCACCCCAGATAGAGTGCAGTGTCATCATTATAGCTCACTGTAACCTCAAACTCTTGGGCTCAAGTGATGCTTTGGCCTCAGTCTTCAGAGTAGCTGGGTCTACAAGCACATGCCATCACGCCCAGCTAATTGTTTTCCAATTTTTGATAGAGACACAGGATCTCGCTCTTGCTCAGCCTGGTTTCGAATTCCTGAGCTCAAGCATTCCTCCCGCCCTGCCCTCTGAGAGTGCTAGTTAGAATTACAGGCATGAACCGCTGCTCCCATCCTTGTTTATTCTTATATGATATTTTTTTCCCTGTGTACATGTTATCTTAACCACATCTTTGCCTTATGAGAATTATATATTCCAGAAGTAGTTTGATCATCTGTCTCTTCATATACTTTTTTGTTTTTATGGTTTTTTTTTTCATTTTTTCCCATGTCCAGTGATTTGTTAGAATTGCTTGACTTACTTGTTGTAGAAAAATGGAACTAAAATAAGTAAAATTCATTTTTCCAAATATTTATATTTTTCCAAATATTTTAATTTTGTTCTAAAGTTTCTTATATATCAATATAAAATTTTTTAGATTCCTACTATGTTATATCACGGAACCCAGCAAGAACGTCGAAAATTAGTAAGGAATATTCACAGACGGAAAGGGACGCTGCAGATTCATCCTGTGGTAATTACGTCATTTGAAATAGCCATGAGAGAAGAAATGCATTTACAGGTACAAATGGTCTTCATTGGTTTCTTTGTAATATAGAAAGCATTTTCTCAATTCATAGCACTTTCTCCCCATCTAATAGCATTGTTTAATTTTTTCTGATTGAACTAATAGATGTATTGGCATATTCCTCTAGAACCTTGAGGCTTATGTTAACAGAGAGATTATGATGAAGGCGTATAGTCTGTAACAATAAAATTGAGGCATATGGCACTTTAACTTCTGGCCATAAATCATTAAATGTGTTGGAAGCAGCCAGACATAGACCTAATCTTTGAATGTATAAGATAAATTTTTGACATATACTTTGAGTCCATAGATTTTACCCTATCCATTGTATTTATTTTAATCAAATAAGAATAGAATACTTGAAAACAAGTTACTTTTATTTTTTTTATTAGACAGAGTCTCGCTTTGTTGCCCAGGCTAGAGAGAGTGCCGTGGCATCGAGCGCTTAGCTCACAGCAACCTCAAACTCCTGGGCTCAAGCAATCCTCCTGCCTCAGCCTCCCGAGTAGCTGGGACTACAGACATGCGCCACCATGCCCAGCTAATTTTTTCTATATGTATATTAGTTGGCCAATGAATTTCTTTCTATTTATAGTAGAGATGGGGGTCTCGCTCTTGCTCAGGCTGGTTTCGAACTCCTGACCTCGAGCATTCCGCCCGCCTCAGCCTCCCAGAGTGCTAGGATTACAGGCCTGAGCCACCGCGCTTGGCCAAAACTATTTGTTTCTTTTTTTCTTCTATATATATTAGTTGGCCAATGAATTTCTTTCTATTTATAGTAGAGATGGGGTCTCGCTCTTGCTCAGGCTGGTTTCAAACTCCTGACCTCAAGCAATCCACCCGCCTTGGCCTCCCAGAGTGCTAGGATTACCGGCATGAGCCACCGCGCCCGGCCCAAAACCATTTCTTTATAGTAAAATAAAAGTAATATGTACCAATTGTAGAAAATGGTAGTATACAGAAAAATGTAAAAGCACCAGTAATTCTACCTGAGAATCATTGCTTTTATATTAAATAAATAACTGCTGTTAACCTGTAGGTATAATTTATACATAGGATCATATTATATATTCTCTTTTATAACTCTTGTTTTCTACTCAGTAGTAAAACATGAAGACTCTTCTGATTAGTTTGTTCTTCCTACCCAGTCCATATTGAAATAGTTAAGTTTCCTTGTCAGTTTCATTTGCCATTGGCTAAAGTCTATTATAGTTTTCCCTTTTATTAAGCTTATGCTATCATTTCAAGGGTCTTAGCTTTGGAGATAATGAGAGTATGGGATTCCAGGTCTGTTGTGGCTGAGTAGGAGCAGAAGTATCTTAGTTCTCTTGCTAATTTGTTTTTTATTCCTCATCACTATTTCCTTGGTTTTTCCCTTTTCTGTCACTTACTCATTTATAAAGGATGTGTTTTATTTTTATCTGGCATTTTTAGATAGGGGTCTTATAATAGTGAACAATAATTCAGGTTATCCGATTTGCCGTATTGCTAGAAAAATAAGTTCTTTCTAAGTAGTTTTATTAAAGAAGATATAATATTACAAAATTTGTTCATTATGTTAGGAGTGTATTAAGTAAAATACAAAATATGCTCCATTTCATACTCTTTCCTTAGTCTGTCAGTCCCATTTTCCAAGGATACCTTTAGTTGCTAGATTAGAATTTATATTTACAGAAATGCTGCATATTTCTATATGCTAATACAGTAAATTAGATGAATTATAAGTTTACCTGGTCAAGATAAAAGAGAAAGCACAGATATTAAGAAAGAGAAAGTAAAAACAATTTTCATCTGGGCCTCATCTCACGCCTGTAATCCTAGCACCAAGGTGGGAGGATTGCTTGAGCTCAGGAGTGTGAGACCAGCCTGAGTTAGAGTGATAACCCTGCCTTTACTAAAAATAGAAAAATTAGCCAGGCATTGTGCGTGCCTGTAGTCCCAGCTCCTTGGGAGGCTGAGGCAGGAAGATTGCTTGAGTATAGAAGTTTGAGGTTGCAGTGAGCTATGATGAGGACACTGCACTCTACCCAGGTGACAGAGTGAGACTCTGTCTCAAAAAGAAAAAAAGAAGAAAAAAGGAAATAATCTCCCTCCTCACTCATCCATTAAAAAAAACAATTTTTATGTCAACTTTATAAAAGCAAAGGGATAACTTTCTGTGAAAATATAGATCGATAAACTTGGCTCTAGAAAAAAGGGAAAACCTAAACCAATAACTTTGTAGGAAATTGAGAACATCATCTGATTTAAAGAGTGTCAGTCTCAGGTGTAGTCTTCAAGAATGAAAATTCTAATGCTATATAACGTTTCAGAGCATGGGGAACTAATGAAAGCTTTCAATGTTTCATAATCTAGTATAACAGTAATGTCAAGACTGGGCAAAACATTAGAAAGGAATGCTACAGATTGCTTTGACTAAAGAGTGAATAGGGAAATCTTAAAGATATAATAGCAGGAGAACTTCAAATATTATTTCATGATCTGGTGAGGTTATTCCAGAAATGCAAGTGTACCTTAGTTTCAGGAATCTTTGTTTCATTAGTGGATCAAAGGAAAACATGATTGTCTCACATAGATACCAAAATGGCACTTGATAAAATTCAACATCCATCCCTCAATCCCTCAGAAAAGAGGTTTCATTTATAGAATTGTTTTTAGGAAAAATTGTGATACCATTATTTAAAATTTTTTCCCTCATTTTCTAGCATTGCTATTGGAAATACTTAATAGTAGATGAAGGACACAGGATTAAGAATATGAAGTGCCGTTTAATCAGGGAATTAAAACGATTCAATGCTGATAACAAACTTCTTTTGACTGGTACTCCTCTACAAAACAATTTATCAGAACTTTGGTCATTGCTAAATTTTTTGTTGCCGGATGTATTTGATGACTTGAAAAGGTAGGTAAGCTAATTATTTAACTGTTTTGCATATATTTCAAACGTTAAAAAATCTGTGCTCTTAGTTAAAATTAATCCGTTTCTTCTCGGTAGCTGAATTACAATGATAAATTTTTGTCAAATTATTTGTGTTAATTTATGTTAACATTATCTTCTCTTCCATTCTGAGGATGCTAATTATTTTCTGAAAATTATTTTTATTTTTGGTTTTTATGATATAAAGCTAAGACTCAAGCAGTTTCTATAAGGTCATTAAGTATGAAATGTCCAATTTTTTTAAGTACTAAGTTTGACAGTTGATAACTCTGACATTTGACTTTGACACTTCTTGGTTTTTCTTCCTATTGTGAAGGTTCAACCTCAAGTCTTTCAAATGTACATTTTGGCTTGTGATTATTTTTCACTTTTTTTTAAGAGCAATTTTTGTGAAACCATGTTATAAGTCAAAAATTCGTGTTATTTTTGAATATGAGTTCCATCATGGAACCATTGCACTGCAGACAGCTTGAAATATCACCACAGTGTTTAGGAAGGATGTGGCTAATGAATGCACAATAGGTCAATGGTTTGAGAAGTTCCATTCTGGTGATTTTCATTTTGAAAGTGAGCCATGTGGGTGAGTGACCTGAGACCAAGGTGAATGGATAATGATGAGCTAAAAGCTGTTGTATCTCCTGTCATTAGTATTTTTCACAATTGGATTTACTGACAAATCTACATGCTTATACTTGCTTATTTATTTTATTAATATTATGTTTTAGAGACAGAGTCATGCTTTGTCTCCCAGGCTGGATTGCAGTGGCCTGATTGTAGCTCACTATAACCTTGAACTTCTGGGTTTGAGCTATCCTACCACCTCAGCCTCCTGAATAGCTGGGTCTACAGGCATGTGCCATCACACCTGGCTAATTTTTTTATTTTTTGTAGAGGACAGGGTCTCACTCTGTTCCCCAGACTTGTCTCAAACTCCAGGCCTCAAGTGAGCCTCCTGCCTTGGTCTCCCAAGGCTGGGATTATAGTTATGAGCTACCTACCATACCTGGCCTAATTGCTCATTTTAATAGTTTTTTCTACTTTGGAAAGTACTAAAGGATGTATAATAGATACCAACCATTATCAAGCTCTATATGTATGTTGAATTTTAAAAGATTTATTTTAGTGGGTCATATTTATACCTATAGAGGCAAACCATATGACCTTTGTTTTCAGAAAGAGTTATTTCTATAACTTAAAATGTTTCATAAAGTATGTGCCTGAATTTTTATTTGATGTTCTATTATTGTAATACTATGTTAATATATTTATAAATCATAAAAATGTCACCTGTAAGATCACAGTTTTTGATTGTTGAGTCAAAAAATATCTTTGTTGTTTGAATGTTTTCTTGTAATTAAAAATTGTGATGATGTGGTGCAACAATATCACATGTTTCAATATTGCAAATTATTGTAATTGTAAAACATGTATCATGTTAATATGATTGATTTTGTTTAATAGCTTAACTTGTAACCATTTTTCTTTTCCAGCTTTGAGTCTTGGTTTGACATCACTAGTCTTTCTGAAACTGCTGAAGATATTATTGCTAAAGAAAGAGAACAGAACGTATTGCATATGCTACACCAGGTTTTGACTGTTTTTTAAATTTTGCTTATTGTAGGCTTGTAGAATAAGCCTACAATCTAGGAACCCTAGAGATCACCTGTTTGTACCCTATGAGAGTTCTCTGCAAATTTAAATGATTCCCCTGCCCTTTCCCCACTCCCAGAAGTCACATGGTTTTATGGCAGACCTCAAGTGTTTGTTTAAATTTTGCTGGTTTCATATAATAAATTCATTTTACCACTAATGGTTGATGTTTGGTCAACCAATAAAAATGTGTGGTTTTTATGCAGTGTTTGCCAATGGTATTTGTATAATTTATATCCTTGCACGGCTGATGAATAATCCATTCTTGCTTATTGCTTCCTGTAATTGCTACCCCATTTTTAACTTTCTCTACTTTAGACTAACATTATCTTTCAAAGGTCTCCTAGTCAAATTGGCCTGAAAGGCTTCTCAGTTATGTTTTAGAAATATTATTCAAAATCTTTATAATTTTTTTATTTTAAAGTTTATACATGCTCATAAGAAAAATGTGAAACAGTACAGAAGTGAAAAGTAAAATAGGATCACTTCTTCTCCAAATCATATTTCCTAGCAGCATATACTGAATGATAATGTTGTATGTTCTAGACTTTTTTGTCTGTATATAAACATATAACATGTATTTTATCTATATTTTATGAAGAACAAACTTTTAAAAAATAATTACTTAAATCTTTTAAAAAATTATCAGAAAATTATTTTCCTCACAATGCATATAGATTTTTTGTTTTGTTTTTTGTTTGAAACACAGTCTTGCTCTGTATTATGTCAGTGCAAGTGGTAGAAAAATATATATCATTATTTTGATGGTCCCTTTAAAGATAACATTTACATTTTTCCTGATTGCCTGTAGGTATATTAATGTGTTTCTGGGCTAGTATCTGCAGATATGAACAGAATTAGGAACAAAGCATAAAAGCTATATAAAGACAAATTTAAATGCAATATTACATAGAATTTTCTTATTGCTAGACCACTCCCAAAATACCCCCATTCTTGATAAACTGTTGCATTTGGATCATGGATATAATGGAAATTCATTATCATTTCTATATTCATATAAATTTATAGCTATTTATAATAAAACAGTTCTAATGAGCCACCTTATGAAATAACCAACTATAACAATTACTACAAATGTTCAATGAAATGGATGACTATTTTTCAGGAATTTGTTTAAAAGGCCAGGCTCAGTGGCTCACTCCTACCTATAATTCCAATGACTCTGGATCCTCTAAGAGGATCGCTTGAGGCCAGGAGTTTGAGACCAGCCTGAGTAACATAGACCCTATTGAGAGACACACACACACACACACACACACACACACAAAATTAGCGTGTGGGTGCCAGCACCAGGCTCAGTGGCTCACTCCTACCTATAATTCCAATGACTCTGGATCCTCTAAGAGGATCGCTTGAGGCCAGGGTTTGAGACCAGCCTGAGTAACATAGACCTATTGAGACACACACACCATTAATTAGCGTGTGGGTGCCAGCTCATAGCCCCAGCTACTCTAGAGGGATAAGCAGGAGGATGAACTCTTGAGCCTAGTTAAAGGACATAGTGAGCTATGATCACATCATTGCACTCCAGCCTGGGTGAAAAGCAAGATTCTGTCTCAAAAAATAATTAAATAAAAGGATCCTGTTAACAACGAGAAGGGCTTACCTGAATGCTCTGTGCGGTCCCTTTAAGTGCTAAATTTTACAAATTCTCATTGTCATGACTCTATAGTTTATTTCTAAGGATAGAAACTTAAGATCCAAGCCCTATTTTTGCTATACTATATGGATTTAAACTATTGGGATAATCATGTCATCCCAAAAATATGTCTTTTTAATAATTTTCCACAAGTGTTCCACCCAGGCACTTCAAAGCTGCCAGAAAACTACTGACATGTCAATATTTTTAATTTTAACAGAAAAACATACACATGCACAAAGACACATCAAGTTTGTCATAAGGTGGTCATTCGAAACATGTAACTTGGTTTTTCAACTTTTTTCTATACAAAAGGGTTCCAAATTCCAATCAAACTAGTTCTGTTGATACACATATTATAGGTATAGTGTCTTCGAATATTTTTTTAATTCTTTGTGAGTTCTCGTAGCTTACTATGTGTATTTTACTGCCCACATTAAAGCAAAAGCAGTATGACATTTAGATTAATTTCTTTCATTTAAAATTATTTAAAAATAATATATGTGAATGGTAAAATTTAACAGTATGGAAAGTTATTAAATAAATATGTTCTTTATTCCTGCCACACTTCTTTCCATTTTCCCCGGTGTAACTGATGTTCTTATTTTTGGCTATTTCATTTAGAAACTTGTATCTTAGAAATATACTGTATATACCTATTTGTCTCGTACCCTTCCACCACTGTTTGGACCATTTAGATTCTTCAATATCGGTGGACTACCTGTTGCATTTAGTACGATCAAATACTGTCAGGCATGGGAGAAAATTATATCATTATTTTGATGATCCCTTAAGATAACATTTACATTTTCCTGATTGTGTAGTATATTAATGTGTTCTGGGCTTAGTTCTGCAGATATGTTTTTTAAACACTTGTCTGTTTCTCTTTATCTGATACGTATCTCTATGGCTTATGCTCAAATATGGAATTTTAGTACCGCCCTGAATGAGCTTTATCTATAATTACTATATGTAAACCATTATAACTGATATTTATTAGAGAAGCTATATCAGGGTATAAACTGATTTTAAACAGTTGTGTTCTTTTAAGGCCTAAATAATTTAACAATGGCATAATTATCTTGTTGCTTCTATGTTATTCTATTATAATATGTGATAATCACTATGTAATCCCCAGCTAATGTATTTTAAGCCTGAGTTTTAGAACTTATGCAGGAATTCATGTCTCGCATTTCAGACTCATTGGCTTTTTATTTTTTTTTCTACTAGTCTATATCCTCTTCTAAAGTTGTGGCCGATAACTGAATGTTTAACCTAGGAGTACAATATTACCTTTTATTTTACTTTTAATTTTTCAGATATTTCTTAGAGTTTTTAAAAGATTAGTAAAGTTGGGAGATGTTATGCTACATACATGATGTGTGATGATTATTGTGTACTGATCTTGGAAATTTCAAGTGAGATGATATTTATATCTGACTTTTAGATTTCATAGTATTTATGCAGGAAGAGGGAGTTGTGGGGCAGTATTCCTGAAAAATAAGATTGTTAGCATATTCATATTTGTTCTGTTTAATTTTAGATTTCTAACACCTTTTTTACTGAGAGACTGAAATCTGATGTTGCTCATTGAAGTTCCTCCGTAAACGTGAAGTAGTTGTTTATGCACCACTTTCAAAGAAACAAGAGATCTTTTATACAGCCATTGTGAATCGTACAATTGCAAGCATGTTTGGATCCAGTGAGGTAGAGTGTGGATTTTAAATATACTGTAAACAAGACTTGGCATATAAAATTTCATGTTTGATTTCAGTCTTTTGGCTCCCCATCTGTTTTCAGGACTTGTTGGGTATATTTCTAACTGGAGTATAAGGTATAAGGCCAGTAATAAAAGGTGTTACATGTCCTGCTAAAATTTAAGTAATGGTTTATGTGTTAATTGCTTTATAGTCATTTGGAATGCTTGTTAAAAATTTACATTTCTTTGCCTTACTACTTGTAGGAGCAAAAAAGAAAAAAAAAGTTTAGGTTCCTTTACCAGATTAACCCTTATCATTCTGTTTGAGATTGGACTTGGAAATACATTTTTAACCAACACAATTATTTGAGAATCACTGTACTAAGAAGGGCTTACCAACTACTAGACCAGTCGCCTCCAAATAGCTTGAGCATCCCAAATCCAAAATCTGAAATACTCTTAAATTGGAAACTTTGAGAGCTGACATGATGCTCAAAGAAAATGCTCATTAGAGCATTTTGATTTTCAGATTAGGGATGCTCAACCTGTGCAATTTGTTCACAGGAGGTCATTGATAGCCAAAAGGATTAATAGAATATTCTATTTGAAAGAAATAGCTACATTCATCACCTACCATATAAGAGATGTAGGTAAGATGTCATGTGAATGAAGATAAGGAAATCCTTAAATTTTGTGTAAATGTCTAGATTTTGACTGTATGTTATGGACCATACTTCCTTTTCAAAATATTTATGGTTATGTATTTCCGTTTAATACGGCCATTATTAGACTGTCTTTTCCCCTTTTAATATTAATTATAATTAAAGGAATGGTCTGGCTTTTTAGCTGTTAGAAACTTGTATTTGCCTATTGTAAAGATTCTATTTATAATATACTAATCCAAAGAGATATCCTCTATAAGGCAAATTTCTGGAGCCTATTTTAGCTTTAAATTATTAAATCCCTTTATATAAATTTAAGACAATTTTTTATACCCTTAGTTTTTTCTACTGAAATCTGAAGGTGCTTGTTCTCACTTTCAAATATTGTCATCAATGTTAACAGAAATTTCATGCAACATTTGCATTTGGCTATAGATTGTGGATCCTTGATATTATGCAGTTGGGAATTACTAACTTGATGAGAGACAAATTATTTTTTCTTTATGTGTTAGAAAATTATTTTGTACACTAAAATATCATATCTTATTTTGCTTATATTTAGAACCTAAAGGTATAACTTTTAAAGCAGATTTTTAAAACTTTGTTTTCTTTTAGAAAGAAACAGTTGAAGTAAGTCCTACTGGACGACCAAAACGACGAACTAGAAAATCAATAAATTACAGTAAAATAGATGATTTCCCTAATGAATTGGAAAAATTGATCAGTCAAATACAGCCAGAGGTGGACCGAGAAAGAACTGTTGTGGAAGTGAATATCCCTGTAGAATCTGAAGTTAATCTGAAGCTGCAGAATATAATGATGTTACTTCGTAAATGCTGTAATCATCCATATTTGATTGAGTATCCTATAGACCCTGTTACACAAGAGTTTAAGGTCGATGAAGAATTGGTAACAAATTCAGGAAAATTCTTAATTTTGGATCGAATGCTGCCAGAACTAAAGAAAAGAGGTCACAAGGTGCTGCTTTTTTCACAAATGACAAGGATGTTGGACATTTTAATGGATTACTGCCATCACAGAAATTTCAACTTTAGCAGGCTTGATGGATCCATGTCTTACTCAGAGAGAGAAGAAAATATGCACAACTTCAACACAGATCCAGATGTGTTTATCTTTTTAGTGAGTACACGAGCTGGTGGCCTGGGTATTAATTTGACTGCAGCTGATACAGTTATCATTTATGATAGTGATTGGAATCCCCAGTCTGATCTTCAGGCCCAGGATAGATGTCATAGAATTGGTCAGACAAAGCCAGTTGTTGTATATCGCCTTGTCACAGCAAATACTATCGATCAGAAAATTGTGGAAAGAGCAGCTGCTAAAAGAAAACTGGAAAAGTTGATCATCCATAAAAATCATTTCAAAGGTGGTCAGTCTGGATTAAATCAGTCTAAGAATTTCTTAGATCCTAAGGAATTAATGGAATTGTTAAAATCTAGAGATTATGAAAGGGAAGTAAAAGGATCAAGAGAGAAGGTCATTAGTGATAAAGATCTGGAATTGTTGTTAGATCGAAGTGATCTCATTGATCA